TGTGACTTTTCCTTTCATAGACAATTCGGCTAGACTTGGAGTTCTTTAAAGGAAGGGACCATATTTTCTGTTCTTTCTACTTCTCACAATGCCAAGCACTGGGCAGGACACAAAGTACATCCCTGATATGTGTTTTGATGGATTTTGAGCCCCCAAGTTTTACCTTTTTCATCCCAACTCCGTTTGGTATCTGCAGAAGGAAGTCTAGCGTCTCATCGTCCGTGAAGTACCCCGGAGTAGGCTGGCTGCAAATGAGAACACGTGAGAGACTGCAGGTAGATGAGAGAAAGAGGGAACCAGGCACTCCTCCCCGCCCCTCTCCTGCACTGGCCCCGGATATCAAGCAGCCATGCTGGGCCGGCTTTAAACATGGGCAAGCTGAAAAACAAAGCCACAAACGTGAGAGGGGCCACCGCCGACCTGCGCAGGCCTTGGAGGCTCAAGGTCCAGGAAGGTGTAAGATTTTGCCCCCGAAGCAGGACGAGGCCTTGTCTGGTTGTAATCAGGAGGTTGCTGCAGTTGGAACCTGGGGCCTTCACCATCTGGAGGAGCTCGACGCCGTCACTGAGGTAAACAAGATGCCAGCATTTAGTCCCAGGCTTGGGTGAGACGCCACCCCGCTGATGCCGGCCTCTCCTCTCGGTGCTCGTGTTTGTGCGGAACACCTTGCGTTCACCCCCCACCAGTGTCTCGTCAAGGGCGTCACGCTGTTGTTTCAGCTGAATGTTGATTTCTTTGTTTCTCTAGAAACCAAGGAGCCCTGAAAAGGTCATGAAAGTTCCAAAGGAATCGACAGAAAAATTCTTCTCGAACTGGACGCTCCGGGAAAGATAACAGAGGCACGGATCACGGCAGGGAAGGAGACGGAGGTCGGGACAGGAGGCTCGAAACTGTCGCTAGGCTCGGACAGCAGCTCCTGCCGCAGACTCCATCAGATTATCCCCTCCTCTGCACACCTGGGACCACTCCACTGACATCTGTCAAATGCACTGACACAATACGAGACTGCCTAAGAAAATGCTAGCAAATGCTTTCAAGCTTTGGTAGAAAAGAACGAAGACAATTAGTACCCCCGCCTGGGGTTCAATGGGGAAAATCCACAGCATCTGACAAACAGCATCCCACTTTTAGTTAAGAAATAAACAAGGGAAAAAAAAAGATTTCACGGGTGCCATCCTTGCAGCCGCCAAAACGATTCTTCAATTAAGAGAAAAATATAAGCAGAGAGTAGGGCAGAAACAAACAAAAAAAAAAAGAGTAGGGCAGAGCCTTGAGCACGGTTTTACAAGCAGTAATGTTAAATAAATCTACCTCCCTACCCGAGGTTCCCCAGTCTCACCTGCCCTGCTCCGACTCTCACGCTAAACAAATATCCTTACTGGCCACCTCCGTGCAGAGTTGACCACACGTCATGGGCACCCACATGTAGATGTCAACAAATTCTGTTAGCAAGAGAAGAGCATTTCTTTTTTTTTCTTTTTTTAATGCTTCTTTTAGGGGAGGAGGTAATTAGGTTTACTGACTTAATTTTTTAATGGAGGGACTAGGGATTGAACCCAGGACATCACGCATGTGAAGCACACACTCTACCACTGAGCTATATCCTCCCTCAAGAGAAGAGCATCTCTAACTCCCCTTAACCAGATAGGCAGGTGTTCTCTCCCCCAACACTGTTCTCCTCCCAAGCCTCCACCCACATGCTTACCAGCCCCATCAAACACTAAGACTCCCGTCACACCGGGACAGGGCCACACGGCTGCCCTACCTGAAAACATCAATGAGCTCAGATAGGTTGACGGATCTTCGCTTCTCCCATTCGGGTTCCTCGATATGCAGAGAAGGCGGTGAGCTGTCTCGATTTTGGGCCTGAATAAAAATGTCCCGCAGGGCGACAGCCTGGATATTTCCTAGGGTGCAGGAAGAACCAAGAGTGAGAAGTTGAACTGGACAGAACACTCCCCAGGGGGAGGATGTGAGGGAGAGACACAGAGTCTGAGCGGACGGACACAGCCTGCCTGGGGTGGCCCAGCACGGAGCCAGTGCGGAAGTGATTAAGTGGATGCTGGACAGACTCTTCTCTTTGCAGAAGGCAGGTGGGGACAGGAGAGTTAGCGCCCTGCAGCAGGGCGCATGGGGGAGAGGAGGTGACAGAGGGCAGGTGTCAGCGACTTTCTCTGACGCACAGGGAGGCCTCACCACACACACCGATGAGGACAGAGGAAAAAATGAGCCTTGCTTCTTACCAAAGCCAAACAGGATGTAGATGGCCCCGTTTGTGGTGATGTAAACCTGAGGACCGATCAGGTTCCCCACTCCCACGATGTTATACTTCACAGGGCGGCCCACGGGCCTCCCTGTCCGGCCGGACACCAGCAGAAAGCACAGATCTGGCTGACGAAGTGAAAGAAGGGGGTTGAGTTCATTGGAGCCCTATTGTTGCCTAGTCACATCGTTTCTCCTCCTAATCACATCACTGCTTCCTCGTTAGCTGAGAGTTCAGAAACACCTCCCAAAGTTGGACAGCATCAAGCCGAGCCCGCTTCATTCAGTTTCCCTGGAAGTGAGGCGAATGTCCCATCCCTTGTCAATACGTGCAAAGAGCATCGGGATGGCAGCTGGGGCAATGTCTCCGAAGCTGCTGCTGAAGAGCAGTGTCCGAGGCCCAGAATTCTAGCCTAGAGCTAAACAGAGGACAACCGACCCCTCACCCTGGTCATCACTCTCAAACCCCCTACTGGCCCCAGCGGGAAGCAGCGCAGGCAGTGTGCTTCCACCATAACACACGCGTCTGCCCTGGCCACGATCAACCTTACCCTCAAGCAGAGATCAGCAAACCTTTTCGGTGATGGGCCAGGCGGTGACTATTTAACATTTTCCCAACCAAAGGGCTTCCATACGGACTACACTACTCTGCCGCCCTAGTGTGAAAGCAACCACAGCGTATATACATAAATGAATAGGCGTGATTGTGTCCCAGTAAAACTTTATTTACAAAAACAAGCAGTGGGCCAAATCTGACCTGCAGACCATAGCTTGGCAACCCCTGCTCTAGAGGATTTTCTTTTGGGAACAGAGTCACTGGTTGAGAAATATAAGGACTCTATCAATAACTTAACTTCAGTAAAGCTTTTGACAGAGTTTATCACCCCCTAATTCTTACAGACAAGATAAAGAGATGTGGTTTTCCGTGTACCCTGCAAAAGGGCCAGTGCCAAACCAGAAGGAGGTTCTGAGTGGAATGTCACAGCACCCTGCCACTGTCTTATTCCTAGTAATCATTCTTATCAAAGACCTGAATAAACAGAATTTGAGCTTATTACAAAGCTGACAGAGACAGCTAATCTGCTGTATGACAAACTCAAAATTCAAAAACTCTTAGGCTGGAAGATGGGTAAAAAATCTGGAAGAAGGAATTGAGCCATTAATTAAAAGACGTGGGTATTTTATGCTAACTAGACTTTTCATGGAGATCATTTTGAAATGTATAGAAATATCAAATTAGTATGCTGTGGACCAGGAATTGACACGGTCTTATAGGTCAATTATACTTCAAAAACAAACTCATAGAAAAAGAGATCAGGTTTGTGGTTACCAGAGGCGGGGGTGGAGAGAAGGGGCATTGGAAGGCAATCAAAAAGTACAAACTTCCAGTTATGAGATAAATAAGTACTAGAGATGTAATGCACATCATGATAAACATAATTAACGCTGCTGTATGTCATTTAAGAGAGAAAATCCTAAGTGTTCTCATCACAATGAAAAAATATTTTCTATTTCTTTAATTTTGTATCAGTATGAAATGACGCATGTTCACTAAACTTACTGTGGTAACCATTCCATGACATGTGTTAAGTCAAACCATTATGCTGTAACCTTAAACTCATACAGTGCTGTATGTCAATTATAGCTCAATAAAACTGGAAGGAAAAAAATGAAAGAAGTAGAAAAAAAAAGATGTGGGTATTTTAACTGATTAGAAACAAAACTTGAATCTTAGAAAGGTTATCACAATCCTTGGCTGCATCTGTCGAAGTACAGTCTATGTCAAAAGAAGTAACAATTTCCTTAAGCTGATATAACTGGTTGTATTAGAAACAGAACACTGTTTTCATTTCTGGGTACCGTATTAGAAAAGAAATACAGACCCACTGAGTGAAAAGAGAAAGAAATCAAGAAAGAGAGGGGTCTGAATCATGCTGCATGCGGAACAGGAGGAGAAACTGGGGCCTTGAGAGTAGCAGGTGCAGAGGGCTGAGGCTTACAGCCAAAGGCCTTTCACACGGAAAGAGGATTAGATTCATTCAGAATAGTTCTACGGGGCTGAAGCTGGCCAGTGAATGGAAGCTCTGAGAAAGCAGATTTCTCAACAATAACATAGAATTTTCTAGAGCAGATCAAAAGCAAAACGGACTGTGCAACAAATTAGTGACTCTCCCATCAGCCTGAGTACTGGGGGAATGAGTGCCGATGTATCTGGAACAACCTATCAGAGACTGTAGGAAGGTGCGAGAGGCTCAACCACGTGGCTTTTAAGGTCCCTTCCCACTGATGTTCAGACCAGATTCATTCTCTAACCCAACCAGGTGTTCTCAGCCCACCTCACTCCAAACCCAGATCTAAGAACACTGTCACTCCACGTCACAGCCCTAATATGTCTCATTCCTTGTGAAGAGAGAGTCTTCCATCTCTGCAGCTCAGAGCAAACACATCCCTCAGTTCCTTCGTTGCTGCTTGAGGTCAAAAGGGTGAGTGTAAAGAGGAAGCTATTGCTCTAAACCCACCACTTTTCCAAGATTTTCCTAGTACTGTCTATCACTTTCCAGGCACAGTAGACACTAGTCCATCTCCCCTCCCCACCCCGAAAAAGGCAGACAGTAGGAGCAGGTGAGAAGTCATTCCTCTAACAGAGCCCCCTCGCCATGGAGGGTCCCTGAATCACAACTGAACCATTATCCTGTCCACCAACGCTGCCTAGTTAAGAAGCCAGATGGGGTGTCAAGGCCGAGGTTTTTCAGGACACATACACGTGTTCAACGTCTTGCTGTGCCTCTGCTCACCATAATTCCTTTAAAAAGAAACTCCCCATACTTTCCACTTTGGGACTTTCTGCGAATCACCTGCTGATGGAGGTAATCCTTAAAATGTTCCCTGGAGCCGGAGCTCTTTATTCACAGTGACTGCAACTAACAAAGAATCTGTAAATAATTCTGGAAGTTTTGGTTCCATCTACCTTGAGACCATCCGGCCAGTTGAAGAAAAACCGCCAGAAAGAACTTCTAAAAGTGACTAATCTCCAGAAACTGACTCCGTGATCCATCTTCTCTTCCCACATCTCACAAACATAAAGTATCTCATGAGGTACCAAAGCCAGGCTCCTCCAACTTATGGCCTGTGGAGCTCTTTGAGTTCATTTATGCTGTTCTTGGCAGGAAAACCAAAAAATACTGACAGATCTAATTCTGCTCTAAATAATTTTACTTGTAGATTTTGTAACTCTGCTCCACCCATGCATCATAAAAATCACCACGGGAAACACAAGGTCTAGTGAAATTAAAATAAGCTACCCAGTGAGGCAAAATGATCTGTATCCACATGTTTCCACAAATATTCTTGGCCAATTGTTCAATTCTTTTGTCCACATGCCTTTCTGGGCAGATTCACCCTAGGAAGTCTGAGAGAAAACGGCTAAGAGAAAGTTTGACAGAAGCTCCGAGAAAAGCTTCAGGAATGAAAACTTAAAGTTGAGATCGTTCTGTTCATTAACATAGTCTTTTCTGTGATTGAGGGCGGGGGAGGGGAGCTACTGTAATTTTATTTGGGCAGAGAATTACTAGTTCCAGGAACTGGAGTTCCAGCAGGGCAAACTGGGGCACATCATTTAGGGACCACTGTCTTAGAACTGAAGTCTGCAGTCAGCTACAACTCTTTCTTTGGTCACCATTGTTATTACTTGTTTGACTTATCATTCTTTCTGTGTCTATTTGATGAACTTTCTGTCAGCCTGTCTCATTGCTTTAGCACTGCAGGAAAAGTTAAATATATGGAGGGCGTGTATAGCTCAGTGGTAGAGCGCGTGCTTGGCACGCACAAGGTCCCGGGTATAAACCCCAGTACCTCCATCTAAAAAAGAAAAAGAGAAAAAAAAGTTAAATATATACAGTAAAATTATGTGCACACTTGGTGCATAACAGGCACTAGGCACTTCTAATCCGTTAGCTCTCATTTTTCATAATTTGTTTCCTGCAACTGGGACAAGAGCCCCACAATACGAAGTAGCCAGGGCGGAGGCAGGCTCTGCAGCTGGCCCAAGGCCACAAGGCAGTACAGCAGAAATTCAAATGCAGACCTCTCTGGCTCCAAAGTGCCACCGTGCCAGTCAAAGGAACCAGGAAAATGGATTCATAATGGTAATTGATTCACCTCATCTCTCAAAGAGAATTTATTTCAATCTAAGCCCTTACAATAAGAAGGTTTCAAGCAGCCTTTCTAATAATGATATTAGGAACGGACTAAAGTTGAAGCATTCGTGTACGAAACAAGGACCATGTAACGTGGATCATACCTGCAGTTCCCCAATGGCCAGGACCACAAGATCTCTAACGCCATCTTCATCCACGTCCGGCAGCACCACGCCAGGGGCAGCCAGGGTCCCATTGGACAAGTCGTTTGGGTTTAAAGTCCAAATGGCTTTCCCTAGGGAAGGACAGAGAGGCTGATCACAATCAGGGTTTTCTACCTCTGGAGGGGGCCGATGTAATGTTCCCAGGCCAGAAAAGAGACTCAGTGGGCAGAATGACAGACAGTGGGCAGAACTCCTACTCACTTTTTCCTTCAGTTTTTATCTGACTGTGGGGGAAGGGCACAGGGCGTGCGAGCGGAAGTCCTCAAGCACCTGGCCAACAAGCCCATGTAACAACTTCACACCTAGGGTTTTTTTAGATAAAACAGACATGCCGATGTCTAACCAAGAGAGAAGAGCCCACTTGTCTGGGATGGATGGAGGAACTGATTTGTTAGCTATTAAGGAAACTTTCTGGGGCACCAAACAGAAGACTAACGCTCCCCTTCTACCATGCGTTCACAGAAGTGGGGAGACCATGAAAGGTCTTCAAGATGACTTCAGTTCTAGAGTTAACACACGTGTAAATTTTTTTTTCCCACTCAGAAGAACCCCACTACCAAACTCCAACCTCTACAACTAGGAAGGAGGCCATTTCTGCAGCCTCATCCAAATCCAAGGTCAACAAGCATGTTGGCAGTGTATGCGAGGCTCTGCGAGGAGCCTTCTTGGTATCTGATTCTTTTCTGTTCCTTTTGTTACGTATCTCAATTCAACAAGGTAAGAGGTCAAATCAGCATGCCTGGACAAAACTTAGATTCTTCACTGACATAATCTTAAGTGGTTAAAGCCCAAGTTTACACGTGGACCCACGTGTGTCAACTGGGAAGAGACAAAGCTCAGCTGTCTTTTGTACAAAGAACAGATTAGGGAGACTCTTTGGAAACCAACGGCCTCAGGGTAGTTTGTTTGGATAACTCAGTGCAGCCCCATCCGATCACCAAACAGGTTGAAAGGTGGATTTATTACTCAATCTATTCCAACCCTTTCTCTTATTTCCCTTAATAGCCACCTTCCAGAGCAGTAAATCAGACTTTCCAGCACGTGAGAGTGGAGCGGCCCCTTCCCCAGCAGATTATTCTAATCCGAGATTAGGGCTCCTTGAAGCAGGATCTTTACCTGATGTCGCATTGAAAGCACTGAACATCTTGTGTGTCCCTGTCACGAGGCAGATGGTTCCGGCCACGCTTCCTGGCATCAGATCCAAGCAGGTGATATCTCGGGCCTCCTCGGGGAGGGGACTAGACCAGAGTGTGCTGCCGTTCATCCCCGAAAGGCACACAAGGACAGCAGGTGGCCTTGAGACACCTAAAAGCACACGAGAGACAAGCAAGGGGAGGGGGAGACAAGAGGGAGAGATAAGGAGGCCAGGAAACCAAAAGGAAATGGACATAAGGCAGCAACTCAGATCTGTGGGCTGAGCTCCCTCCTATATTTCTGGCAACAAGGTCTGCAAACAGAGTACCTGTCATATCTGCGCAAAGCGCCTCTCACGGAAGATGAGATGCTGTGACCTCCTCAAGGCGGCCTCGCAAGCTCCATCCCCCTCACACCTCTGCCAACATGTCTGCTTGCATGCCTGTCACTTTAGCCCCCACTAAACAGGGATATCCTTAAGGCTAGAGCCTGTCACATTCATTCCTGCCTCCTCAGTGCTTTGCGAAGCCTTGACCACATATAGCAGCCAATTGTTCTCTGAATAAAAGGAGCAAACTCAAGAATATGGAAAAGTCATCGCTAAGAAGAAAAAAATACCAGGACGGAAAGGTATGCTCAGGAAATTGAGACTGATCTAGAACGTGTGTAGAGCAGGGGGCAAAATACCTGAATTCTGATCATTGTGGCAAATGCTCCCCGAGAGCAGGAAAAAATCTTTAAAAAAAAAAAAAAAAAAAGGAAAACCTGAAGATGACACTGAGCAATGATCGGTAGGTCTCCCTGGTCTAGAATTCCATGGAACGCGCTGATCTGGCCTCAGTCGGGGAAGAACACTTGGGCAAACTTAATAGCCAGGCCCAAGGATAGCTGGTGAAGGATGAGAGTAGCTCACCTCTTAAGCAAATAATCCCCTTAAGTCACTCAACTAACACCTAAGAGTAATAAGCTTCTCTCCTGCCGCTTTTACACTCACTTCCAGGATAGGGCCGTGGCCCATCTCACACACCTCCACGTTCCGCTCCCAGCGACGACTCACAAGGACAAGGGAATGCGGGTGTTACAGCGTCACTGTACCTATTCCTCAGAAATACTAATTAAACATACAACCTAAGACGAGTGGCAACCTGGCTCGCTCTTCCAGACCTTGTTATCAGAAGCAGTGATGTACATGAAAAGTCTATGCCTTCCCAGGGATGCTCTGCTAAATATACTGTGCTGTCCCTTCCTCCTTAATGACCCTACTGACTCTTCAGACATGCAGAGAATCTGCAGACATGATGCATACAGGTCAGCCTCCCGTCCCGCCGGGAGCAGGACAGAGGGCAGGGATGGAGGAGTCAACAGACGGGATACAAGGCAAACCCCAAGCCAAGAGGTACACGTGTAAAGATGTGTTGGAACATGAGCAGACGCTTCCTGCCGGGGATGGGAAGGTGGCATAGTCTACACTGACTACAATCGAAGAGGCCAGGGAAAACTGACAGGGAGAAAACTCAAGAAACCTAAGTGCCAGCGCTGGTCAGTGCAGGAGTGCGGGCAAAAACTTCTCCCCAGTCTCAGGCTGTCACTGCCCTGGGGTGGCCACTATCAGTGTCGCCCAGCTCTCGCTCTCTATGACTTCTTGAGATGGGTGTGAGGCACCTGCAGGAGCTTCCTGATGAGGTTCAGCGTACAGGAGAGGTCCACGAAGGTTTTCTCTGCCCTGCAGGCCCTCCAGCAGGCAACCCTGACATGTTCTCTTGGCTCACACCCTTCCATCGAGGAGCCTCTCCAGCAGTGGCCTCCGAGAGACGCGTCCCTTACCGGCTGCGCTCCGGTTCCTCGACGTGACGAAGGAGAGAAGCACGTCCCGCAGGCCATCTCCGTTCACGTCGGCCAGTTCCAGTGGGGACAGGTCCCCGCCTGAGAGACACAGAGGAAACACAACGTCCTCAGAAGGTTACCACCAGCCAGTCCTCTGCTCCAGGCTGGAGAGAGCATGTTCCCAAAACACCAGGCAGGCTTCCAGCTCCCAGATGAAACCGATAGACCCAGTTCTGTCTCTGCCTCTAAGTACAGCTAGAATCCTGGGCATTAAAAGTAAAACAAACAGAAGAAGACTCCGGAAGGTGGAGAGAAGGCAGACCGGCTAGGGACAGCGAGACCCGAGGAAGGGCAAGCCGATGACCCCCCTGGGTGTTCTCGGGCTTCGCATATCCCAGACAGGGTGCTGCAGAAGCCGGCCCCCCGGGAATGCCAACTGGGACGTACAGAGGCCCCAGAGAAGCTGGTTCCCCAGCCAGACGACAGGAAAGGTGCAGCCTAGCAAGACAGAAGAGTTTTCGATAATAACTGCTCTACTCCAACGAGACACCACAGATAAAGCGGTGGCCCGGCCCCGCCCCACCCTCACAGCAAAGGCCAGGTGGAAACCCTCGTCCGGCTGTAACAGGGCACCCCTCACCCCACCAGCATCATGTCAGAGAAGGTCAGGCAGGGATCCTGGACTTCCATCTCCACCTTGCAGTGACAAGGTAGGGACTGTCACGCCCCCCCGACACACACACCCAAACCGTGTGGAGTCAGAAGATGCTTGCCAGATTTGGAGAGAACTCATACATGGCTAATGGAAATGTAAACTGGTACAACCACCATGGCAGATGATTTAATATAAACTACTAGGATTGAACATGCACATGGCGTACAACCCAGCAGTTTCAATCCCAGGTTTATGCCCCAGAGAAATTCTTACACACTCCATCAGGAAATAGGTACAAGAATCTTCTTAGCAGCATTATGGGTTTTTTTATTTTTGTTTCTTTTTTAATGGAAGCCACCTAAAGACTCATCAACAGTAAAATGGATCCATAAATCATGGGATATTCACACCACAGAAAACGAGACAGTGGTGAAACCCAGTAAACCCCAGTGATGGTACCTTAATACATATAAACTTTACGCTAAACAAAAGAGCAAGTCACATGGACCTAGAGATGACCATACTAAGTGAAGTGAGTCAGAAAGAGAAAGACAAATATCATATGACAGCACTTACATGCAGAATCTAAAAAAATGACACAAATGAACTTATTTACAAAACAGAAAGAGACTCACAGACATAGGAAACAAACTTACGGTTACCAGGGAGGAAAGGCGGGGAGGGATTAATAGGGAGTTTGAGATTAGCAGACACAAACTATTATATACAGAATAGAGAAACAAGGACCTACTGTAGAGCACAGGGAACTATATTCAATAGCTTGTAATAACTATAATGAAAAAGAATATGAAAAAAGAATATATGTATGTATATGTATGACTGATACATTATGCTATATACCAGAAATTGACACAACATTGTAAGCTGGCTATCCTTCAATTAAAAAGAGGTTAAAAAATCTTTTTAATTAAAAACTTTAAGCATTTTTTAAAAAAACAAAAAGAGTGGTGACTGTGGAAAAGTAACTAAAATCTATGAGGGAACTACAGGAAGATGAGAGTTATTCTAACAAGGTCTGTTTGTACAGATTTCTCTCGGCCTCAAGCCCTCATCTCTGGTGATAAGCGTGTTCTTTTCTCCTGGTGTAAAGAAGGCAGCTTTCACCTGAGGGTTTCATCTCCTGCTTTCAGGAAGAATCGAAGGTCAGAGTGGCTCTCTTGCACCTGCTGTTGTTGAAATACCTTTAACTCAGAATAGCCAAAGCACCGTATTTGGGACCAGTGCAGTTTACAAGGGACAGGACCACTCAGCGCTGACAGTTTGGATGTGATCCCCATTCCTGACCCAGAGCAAGTTGTTTTAAAGAAACCTGCTCTGCAACCAAAATGTCCCTTAACAGGTGACTAGATAAAGAGGATGTGAGATATATATATAACACACACAATGGAATAAAAAAGGATGAAAATTTGCCATTTGCAGCAACGTGGATGGACTTCAAGGACATTATATGCTGAGTGAAACACGTCAGACAGAGAAAGGCAAATACTGTATGATGTCACTTATATGTGGACTCTAAAAAATACAACAAGCTAGAAAGAAGTTGACTCACAGATAAAGAGAACAAACTGGTGGCTACCAGTGGGGGGGGGGCACAATAGGGGCAGGGGATTAAAAAAAAGGGGGATGATGGGATTATGTGAAATCATGTGCGTGAAACTTTTGAAAATTGTAAAGCACTGTAAAACTTAAAGACTCTTTCACTCAGTTAAAAATAAAAATAAGAATAAAGCAATGTCCTCCAAAATGAGACAAAACAGCTAGAATTACTTAGGTAGCACCATCCCAGCCATTAGAAGCAAGAAAGAAAAGCTCCTGCAAGGAAGCAACTCTTTTTTTCCTTGAAAAGAAATTAGTTGAAAATTCAATTTAAAGTCAGGCTTCTACAATCAACAAACACCGGAGGGCCGGACAGGAGCCCTAGCCTCTGGCCTGGCCAGGACTCGAGCCTTGCTTCTCTCAGGTGACAGCCTTTCCCTCAGCTTTGCTCTCCACTGACACAGCGTTGCCTGCTCCACAGGAGCCCAGCCAACGATGTTCTGTCCTCTCTGCCTCTAATTAAGAACTTTGCCAGGAGAAATCCCACGCAGTCCCCGTCCCAAGTTTTCGGAGCTGTCCCAATTCCTTTTTTTTTTTTGTCCTATTTCAAATCTTAACTTCCTAACCACCTCCATGCCCAGGGGGAGAAATGCTAGATGACACCCATTAATTTGTAAAGACTTTTCTGTGTAATTGGAAGCTTTAGGGAATCACACGTGGGCAATCATGAAGTTTTACAGACTGGGAGTTGAAAATCCCGCTGCTCACCTCCCTGGGGGCCCAGGTGGCGGCTCCACGTGCTGTGCAGATCTCGAGGGGGACAGGGGATCAGGAAAGCACACACGAGCACCAGCACCATGGAGATCACCAGCATCAGCAGGAAGACAGACGTGCGCACGTAGGACACGAGGGAGGAGGCCGCCTTCTGCTCCAGGCCCCCCAGGGGTTCCAAGGGGTACCCCTCTGTGGTGACCTCCGACAGGTGCGGCTTTGCAGCCCCTGCGACCTCGGTGTCTGAGTCAGGCTCTGGGACTTCACCCAGAGGACTCTTCCCGTTCTTGACCCCTCCGTTCTTCTGCTGCAGATTAAGCACAAGGTCATCTTCACTCTCATCACTGTCAGCCTGTGTGAGGGGGTCATACTCCCCCAGGTCTGGGCTCTTCTTCCCTGAAAAGACAGAAAGACAGATAGTCAAGGAGTACTTGGAGAAGGAACCTTCAGCAGACACACACCAGCTGTCCGCACCTAGGAGAACACACAGAACAGAACAGAAAGGCAAATCTAGGTTGACGAGCTTGGACCTTGGTAGCCATCTATAAGATAGATACCAGGGAAAGGGTGGGGGAAAGAATGGGGGAAAAAAAGAAAATCATAGTGTTTGAGAACTGTTGCTTTCTGAGTTGAAGAAAATTGGAAAAGAAACAGAGAAGGTGGCAAATTTCAAATAGCTTCTTAGTTAAAAGAAAAAAAAAAACCTCTCTTAATTTAAATCTCACAAATGAATAAGACCATGGCTCTTCCATCAGCCTTCATGTGTCTATTTCCTTTGATTTTCTTAGATCGGTGATGTTCCAGTCTTTCCTGGGACGTCTCTAAATTTTTAGGACAACTGTTCTCTGTACACTGCTCCTCACGGTCCAATATTTGTGGCTTCCCAGCTGTTTCTATGGAAACCACTTAGAAGGTCAAATGCTGAATGTCACCTGGAGATGTCTTACTGAAAACTTCTGAGAACCTTCCTGTGAGTCAAATGCCCTTTTAGGATGTGTTTCTGTAAACAGTGGTTACCTTGAAAATTGCTATTCTGAGCCTGCATTCCGGGAGGTGGGGCCCAGCAGGAATGTGGAGGTGGAGGGCTGTCTTGAGGCTGGTTTACATAACAAGCACCCTGGTTTAACTTAGACCGCATCTTTGCTTGGGGTGGCAAGAGGCAGATGTTACAGCGGGAGGTTGGGCACATCTAGTCCCAAGCCACCCTTGGCCCTCACTGCCAGCGACTGGATGACTTTATGCCTTTATTTCAGGCTATAGCCAAGTAAAAACCGAGAAGAAAGTTCCTGTTTTTGGAAATTACCTGGTAAGCTATTGCTAGTGTAGAGTTTACATCAGCAATAGCTTACCAGGTAAACAATAGTTTATTGTTAAATCTTCTGTTAAGAAGAAATATAAAAAAAGGAAATACAACTCAGCTAACTAAAAGGGTGAAAAGAAATGTCAAATTTCACATTTATTATCTGTAGTTTTTTTTATGTATTTATTTATTTATTTTATTGAAGTATAGTTAGTTACAATGTGTCCATTTCTGGTGTACAGCGTACTGTCCCAGTCATGCCTATACGTACATACGCATGACTATTTGTAGACTTTTAAATGATGGCCATTCTGACCACCGTGAGGTGAACTACCTCACTGCAGTTTTGATTTGCATTTCTCTAATAGTTAGCAATGTGGAAAAAACATATGAGCAATGTTGAGCATCTTATCATGTCAAGCCAGCTTTCTTGGTAGCCACATCACATAACTGATTCAACTAAACCTCACAAGCACTTTCTCCACACACTAAAGCCACCCCATAATTGTACAGTGTTTAGCATCAAGTGGAAAATTTAGCTTGGACCGTTTATGGAATTCAGTCTTGCTAGTCAGTTTCCACCTTGCAACAACGTAGCCGAAAACAGCACCTTTGTCAACCTGAAATCATTACTGAAATACTGACTAGCAAACAGTTAGAGGAAAGACATTTTTATTATATGATATACTATCACAGGAGGAAGAAAACTTGACTGCATATGCTAAAGAAACTTGTAAAATCTTTAACAAATCTATACAAATAAATCGCAAGCATTCTTTGAAAAGCAAAGCTGCTGCTGAATTGGTCCCTCTGAAATGATTATGTGCTTTCGTAGTTAAAGATGGCAAAGGAAGGCCTTTCTGTCAGTCTCTTCCTAAAACCAGGAAGGGCGAAAAAGAAATAAAAGTAGGGGGGAAAAAAAAGGAAACAGCCACACTCCTAAACTACAATATATGAAAAATTGTTGCCAAATGCAGTGAAACTTGAACCCAGTTGGGGAAGCACAGCAAGAACAGGCACTTACATCCCAGGTCGTCAGCGATGAGCCGAATTCACAGAACTAATAGTGATGCTGACGATGATAACTGGGAATACACCGAGACCCTACTGTACAGGCACTGGTCCAAGCACTCATACGTATTAACTCATTTAATCTTCATAACAACCCCAGGAGGTAGGTATTATTATTAGCCCCATTTCATCCACCAGAAGATGAAATTACAGAGAGGTAAGTTGCCTGAGATCACAAAACTAACCAGAAGAGCCAGGATTCAACCTCAGGCAATATGATTAGGGTCCACGTCTTAATCCATCAGTTAAGCTACCTCTCTTGTTCCACGGATATAGAGCCAAACCAGTAATCTCTTGCGTGGAAAGACAAAGACTGGGGTCCCAGAAGCACCCATGAACCCCATTCAGCATTCAGAGAGTCAACAGCGAGGTTAAGACTGACGGAGAGCTAGCACAAGCTTCTCTCTGCACAAGAAGCAGGCTTTGCGGCCCTGTCGGTTCCCAAAGGGAGGAGCTTTGGGACAGCGTGGATTCTGCCAAGAGACAGAAGCGAGACAGCTTCAATGAGGGCAGTTTAACATAAAAAGAATTATTAAACAGTGACAGGAGAGTAAATATGAATCTGGGAAATCTAAATGGTACCCTAGGATGAAGCAATTGTATCCGAGGAAGGGTAACTTGGTATTGAGAGGATCCAGGTCCACTTTCACAGATCAGGCAACGAAAGTAAATCTGGAGCTCAGGGGCAATAAGCTGATAACTAGCACAAGAAACAAAGAGAAGGAAACGCTAAATCGGCACTCTCAGGCCCTGTGACAAAGGCCAGCCAGGAAAGTAGCACCCCCGGGGAAGAGCACCAGTGGGAACAGATCTGAGCTGGCAGACCTAGGGCAGATTCCAGATCCCAGCTGCCCAAGCTCACCCAGCCTCTGCCCAGAGGTCAGCCAGCAGCCGGCTGTAAGACGACCTCCCATTTAAACAGGAATAATAATCAGAAAGGAGCCATCATTAGTACTCAGTCCAGAAGATACTACAAAGTTCTACAAATATTCAAGAAAGAAGTTACAACAAAACACAGCAAGCAAAATCAGCTACAGAACAAACGCTGGACAAATTACACCACAAAGTGGAAGAAACAAGGAACAGATGCTTCCTCATGGGGTCCAAGAAATGCAAGAAATAGCCTTCTCTGAAATAAGCGCTCATAGGAAAAAATACAATATTTCTAAGAAGAGATGACAATCCATTGGCGAAGATGAAAAGCAGACAAGGAGGGCTGAGGAAAACAATGGAAGAAAATAATAAAACAGTATCAGAAAGGCAACCCTTATTGGGATCAGCACAAGGGACCCAAACGGCTGAAAACAGCGTCAGAGACAGACGAGAAGGACTGACTGTGAAAATCAAGCAGGATGGAATGGAAATAACAATGGCTGGCAGCTTTCAGCACATAACTATGCTCGCTTCCAAGCTCTTCCACCGTCTTATCTCAGTAAATCATCACAGCAACCCTTTGAGGTAGATGCCTTATTAGCTCCCATTTAAAGATGAGGAAACTGAGGTTTGGAAGTTTAAGTAACTGGCCCAGAGTTAAACAGCACGGAAGTGACAGTACAAGGATTCCAACCCAGGCAGTCGGGCTTGAAATCTGCACTGACTATACGTGTGCTACTCACGGAAACCGATCAAGGCTTTTAAGAAGACTAGAAAGAAAGGGATGGATACAGAGAACAAAAGTGATTCAATATCTGCGGGAGGGAAGAAGAGAACAGAAAAGAAAATGGAACCAAAAATATCTAAAAGATAGACCAAGAAAGGTCCCTGCAATAAAGCAAGACCTGAAAGTGCAGAATAGAGGGCACACCGAGTCCCAAGAAAAACTGAGACAGAATAATCGACATTGAAACACATCCTAGGAAAGGCACTGGACTTCCAGGACAAGGCAAACATCAGATGAGCAGCCAGGCCAAGGGAAAGAGAATCAAGTCACTCGTGATGCAGACAAAATTCAGTAACATCCGTTACTAAAGAGCAGTGCAGCAATACGGAAAAATCCTCAGAGAAAGAGCAGGGGCTGCAAAGTCCAAGAACTGGCCCAGACACGACATTTCAGACGTATGGAGCAAGCATGCAAGAACGCAGACACTATCATACCCCTGAGTCTTTCTTTAAATCGCAGAAGACTAGGACCAGTTCCTGCCCAAACGCTTGAGGAAGATAAATATTGACTTTTGCACTATTAATATATATTTTTCCAGATACGGCAAAGACAAACCTCAGCTGAATTACTGCAGACTGCAAGGTTTTTTTTCAATTTATTTTTTACTTTGGGGGGGGGTAATTAGGTTTTTATTTATCTGTTTATCTTTAATGGAGGTACTGGGGACTGAACCCAGGACCTTGGGCATGTCAGGTGCGCAATCTACCACTGAGCTATATATACCCTCCCCCTCTATAGACTGCAATTTTTAATTAGAGAAGTCCTATGTATATATTTTGTCCTATCTATTCACAGAAAGAGGGGGGAGTATATAGTGCACCAACTTGGCCTAAAGCTATACTCAGGCTGAGGAACAGACAGCAAATCCGTGCTTCAAAGCTCAGGGAACTTGCACACCCTCTTCTCTGCTGATTTCAGTCACCACCCGCATTTTTAGTCAATGAAAGGTTTTCAGAGAATAAGGAGAGGACACTGGTTTCAGAATACATCAATATAAACAGGCTCTCCATAGCTATCACTTTTCCTTCAAGGAGACCGGGGATGCTGGTTAAACAGCATTCCCAAAACGGCATAGAGGGAAACACCAGTAGGGAGGAGATGCAGCCGTACCGTCCCCACATGCTCTCAGGAAACCAAGCTACGATACACACAACCCTATGACGTGTACTACCCTTCACATAGACTGTCCAGCACACTCTACTGCAACTAAGGGTAAATAGTTCCCACCAGGAATTCGTTTATCCAGGGGCCCAGAATCATTCCAAGTCACACATGATAAAACAAACCATTACAATAATATTATGCTCTGATAGTCCCTTCCGCGTCCGACCTTTAAACTTTTTAATGGACCAAAATATATATTCTTAAGAGATAAGTTGTCCCAGAGGCTGCTTTATGAATGTCACATTGTCTTTCTGTTACTAATTAACCTGACTCTATGCATGTGAGCCAAATATCTTTCCATCTTGAGCTCAGTGCGGGGTACGAGACGGAAATATATTCCCGGCAACCTATCTTTCTTAACCGGGTTGATGAATACCTGTCATGAGCGCACTATGACATCAGGCCTTCCTCCAGGAAGCACATTTGTAAATGATCAGGGTGCTAATGATGATGGCGACAATGGCTAACACTTACTGAGTAACTGACATGCGTCAAAGGTCACCTAAGAACTTCCAACTTCCAAACTTCCTAAGAACATCCATCTCTTTTACTCTGCCAAATAACCCTAGAAGGTAAATATGTAGCAAAGCAGGTGGCATATAATGAATGTCTCATAATAATATTACATATGAAGAAACTAAAGCTTAAAGAGAATAAGTAACTCATCTGATAAAGAGTGGACTTAACCCAAGTGTGTCTCATGCTCTTAGTGACCATTCTATTGTGCTTCTTTACACTTAAAAATAGATGTCATTGTGGTGATCAGTATCTACAAAGATCAACTCGTTAGGTTGTACATCTGGAACTAATACAACATTATATGTCGGTTATACTTCAACTTAAAAAAAACAGTGAGGATGTTAACTAAGGTAACAAACAGGACAGCAGCCTGGCAGTCCCCAGTACAAGGTATCCAGAAAGAGCTATCAGAAAGCAACTTCTACCTAATATGAAAGCTAAAAATTGTATTTGGGGTGGAGGAGAGAAAGGGCAAGAGGGAGAAAAGCAAAAGCACAAGTGAGGAAAAAAAACCCACATCACATAAAAGAACATATGGCCTTTGTATCTGGGCCTAAAAGTATCAAGCACACCTGAGTGCTCAGGGCCTCACTGTCGTCCAAACACCGGCCCAGGGACGGTACTGTGCTTCCCCCAACCTGTCAGCTGACCAAGTTACTGCAACTGAATACCCCAGGAGTAATGATGCCAAAGCTTCAGCACGCAAAAGAGCTCAATAGTTTCGAAAGCAGGATTTTTTTTTTCCGTTGCATTCCCAGCCTCTGGGATAACAATTACCTTGCTGGGAAGGTGGGGTGGGGGGAGGGAGCAAGGAATCTAAAAGAAAAAAAAGAAAGCTAAATATGCCTGACATCTCCTTACCCCTTGGGGAAGGCATCACCCTACACTGAAGAGACACAAGGCTACTATCTTCAAAATGAATCCCACAGGTAAAGGAACATGTCCCCCATTTCATTCCAGTGTTACGTGTGCATTCCAAGATAGACATTATCAACATTCCTTCCGATGTTCAAATGAGCCCATGTGGGAATAAAATGTTTGAAGTCATGAAGTCTGGGGGTAGAAATGCAAATTCATATCAAATTCATATCCACCCCAGTGTCAGCCGTGGCACAATGTAGCAGACCAGAAGCTCTTGAGAACAAGGACCCTGTCACCTCCTCCCCTGCAGCCTTATGCCTGAATATCCACTAGTCACCCAACTAGCCCTTTCTAACCATAACCTGAAAGCAACTGCTTTTTCCAGTAACACCTTAAGTTACCAGCAAGCAAATAATTATAGTTTAATGTGTAAAACTTATTTAGGTAAAACCGTAATTTTTTTTAAAAAGCCTTAACATCTAAAATTTATTTGTGCCAAACAAACATAATTTTATTAAAATACCAAGTTTCTAGCAGCATAGTTCCATTCTGAAGGTTTAAGGGAAAAAAAAAAAACTTGGAGCTGCTGCCAAAGTACTGAATTAGCTGCCATCTCCACTAGTGCCTCCTTAAAGAATATTCCATCCATTATCTGCAAATTGCAGGTGCCATATCATTTCCCTCATAAATGCTCAGGCTCGAGAGCCAAAGGCTGACCAAGTGGAACCAAAATCCCAGGATCTTAGAGACAGAAAACCCCTGGCATTTAAGTCCAGGATTTTCCAATACTGCTTATGCGACCCTGGAAAAGTCAATCTGCCAAATAACTCATTTTTTTAAGAAGGGGAAATGTCTGTCCCACATACCTCATGGCAACATCAATACTGTCATTAAGTGGCGAGGCTGCTGCAAAGGGTCACTCGCCATCCTGCCGCCCCCTGCCACCACTCAGGTCCAGCCGAAAACAGAAGGAGCTGGAGACCCTGCGGTACCTCCTTCGCGGCGCTAGGGAAAGGATGCTAATCTCATCGCCCTCCCCTGGGGACAGCGGCGACGCGCGCTCTGACATTGGCCGCCGCCGC